GGCTACGAGCCTTAGAAGGTACCAGTTCAAGCTTCTATAAAACATTGATCTAAAAGGGCACAACCTAGGAAGGCATGAACAACAAAAAGTACGCGATTATTCATAAAAAATTGTGTGCTAACTTTAATTGCAGAATTTCGCACAATTAAGAAGCCATAACAACTGTGGAAGAAACAAAGAAATACATTATCATCATCTACAAATGTCACATCAGATGATAAAAAATGCTATATAGACCAACATAAACTTGTACAAGAGTTACAACAAATCTGCTCATCTTCGAGTAAAGTTGGCATCGCCTCCCCAAAACCCCATACTTCTGATGATCGTTAGGAGGTCTCCAAATATCACCACCACATGAACATGAAAATCTTCCCTTCAAAGTGCAGCAGAAAAAACTATAACATTAGAGAGACACTGGAATCTCCTACGGAATGCACGACACCAACGAGAAAGAAGATCTGGTTGCTTGTCTGCTACGCATGACGAGGACGGCTTTTCTCTTCGCTGCAACAAGAAAGAAGATCCCGTTACTCGCCTGCTACACAGAACGAGGACGATTTTCCTCTTCGTTGCAACAAGAAAGATCTTGTTACTCTCCTGCTACGTAGGACGTGGACGAATTTCCTCTTCACTGCAACGAAAATAAGATCCCGCTGCTTGTCTGTTACACACGGCGGGGACGACTTTCCTCTTTGTCCCATCTCTTTCTTGCTACTCTTCACCACAATTCTGCGCCGCAATTCTTCACCTCAACTCTGCGCAAAAATTTTTCACCTCAAAGCTGCGCCGCAACCCTTCATTGCAACTCTTTGCAGCAACCCGTCGCCATGATGCATTGCCGTGACACACCGCCTCAATGCGTCGTGTCGCCGCTATGCTCCGCCTGCAATGCACCGCAGCAATGCGTCGCGTCGCCAGGACGCCCCGCAGCGACGCTTCGCTGAAATGCATCGCTGCGATGTATCGCCTCGTCACACCGTCACAACGCTTCACAAATATAAGCCAAATTCAAATAACTTTGACTTCATCAAACTTTGAATGAATTTGAACTTTTCTTTGAACCACATACTTCGATGAACCTATCAAAATATTTCAACAATCATTTGAATCACTTTCAACACCTTCATGATCACATTTGCAGTTCTTTAAAGCTTCATTAAGAAGCTTCCTTAGGGTAATCCATTTAATGCAAGTTACCCATCTCCCCCGACTATAAATAACCACTTAATTCTTCAAAATCTTGATGTTTTCTTCTTCCGGACCAGCCTCAATTCTTCCTTTTCCGTTGTGGTTCTTTCCCCTGTTGTGTGCGATTCATTCTTCCAGCTCATGCCTCTTCTCACTCCGCTCGTTTGAGCCTTTCAACCATCTTTCATTCTACCGCAAGAAGGCCATCTTTCTTGTTTGATTTTCTAAACGCCCGAGGATCGTACAACTGTGCAGGTGCTGAAGAATGTGTACGCACAATGGGTTCCCGAGGATCAGATACGGACCACAAATCTATGGTATGTCGAGTTGATGAACCTCGCAACTAATGCATTCTTAGCTCAAGAATCTCTTCGGTTAATGTCATATTTGCTCTCTGTGAGACCACTGATGCCGACATCACAGAAATAGGTTTTGCAGAGTGAATGTTCCTACGGATGATTGTGCCGGCACCCATGTCGAACCCAAATATATGTACCCTTGCTGCCTACTGATTACGAGAGCTGCATCATCTATCTCACCTTCAGCGGATAAGATTTCTCTAAGAGGCTTCGAGAAGATTGTCTGAAGTTCTTTTAAGTTTTGCTCTCCACAAAGAACAAGATTATTTTTTGATAAGACAAGGGATGAAGCATCACCAATTCTACTTAGCTAGGAGTGTCTTTTAGTTCTTCATTAACATCATCAAATTCAAAAGAAGCTGAAGAAGATTTCTGAACTCAATATATAATTTTATTGCTTCTCCAACAATACAAACGTGACAGTCATTCTAATTTATGAAGAATAGATTTGACCGTGATTCGAGCCAATTTGATTTAATAGCAGACGTCAATGGAATCATTTCCTCCTCCAAAGATTTCCATAAGTTTTCATTTACATTGACATCTGCAACTGATGAGTAAGTCTGATGATCTTCATACCACCGCAACGCGTCACCACGACGCAACGTGTCACATCATCGCAACGCACTGCCGCAACGCGTTGCCGCGACGGACCACCGACACGTCGTTGCAACTCCCAACCGCGATGTTGCGCCACGACACTCCGCAACAACGCGACACCGCGATGCATCACGACAATGTGTCGCGTCGCTACAACACCCCGCCACAACGCGTCACGTCGCAACAATGCCCTGCTGCAACGCTTCGTCACGACACACCTCCATAACGCGTCGCGTCGCCGTGTCGAGCCACCACGACGCACAGCCCCAAAACGTCGCGCCGCCGATGCGCCGCCGCAACTCTACCCCTCCTTAAGGCCCATTTATAGGCTCAAAAAGAGTCTTGGCCATTAAATATATATTAATATATAAATCTAAAAATAAGTGCAAGCGTTAAAAAAAATAAAAACTTTTCATATTCCAAAAAAAAAAGTGATGCATTTTCTCTTTACCTCGAATTTAGGCTCCAAAATTTATTCCACCTTTCCACATCCCCAATAATTTTTATTATTCATGTCTAAGCTAAGATTTGAACTTTGACACTCCTTTATGAAGCAAAAGGAACCAAGCAATCGTGCTGAGTTGACTTCTTAACATAAGGATAAAAAATATTCTTTTAACAATAATAATAAAATAATATATATACACAACATAAATGCCTCAAATCTTGATATTTTCGGATGGTAAAAATGATCTCGCCCAAAAATAGGGGCCAACTGATACACCATCAACAAATTTTCATCATCCGACAATCTCGAGATGATATTTTGAATAAGAAAGGTTCAAATCTCGATAAAAATTCATCCAGAGCTCCATTTTCAGCAAACTTATAGTCAAACTGATCGGCACGATGAGACGAACCTAATGATATAAAAACTAGTTCGATCCGAGTCAAATTGAGCCCAAATCAAGTCATGAAACTACTCTTAAAAGATTTTCGGACACATTTGGAAGGTCAAACAGATGCCGACACTAGCAAGTCTATACTCAAATCGAGCGCCTCGAATCGAATGACTCAACAAGACGAATCAAACGAGCCCAAGATCACTCAATTTCGACATAATTAAATCACTTAAATGTCTATTAAACACCGTATGACTCGAGGAAACTCTCTGAACCGTCCGATCAAAATGGTTCATATTAGTGCGTTAATTGCACCCAAAATACTATAAATAGATCCCTACCCCTTACATGAGAGGGGGATGAAGCCTAAAGAGAGTTTGAGGCTTTGAGGAGAAGCTGTAGCCGCCTACCGCTGTCGACCACCGCCGACCGCCGTCGACCCCTGCTGACCTCCCTCAACAACCACTGACTATCATCAATCATTGACTGTCATTAACTACATCAACCGCCGTCGACCCCGCCAACCTCCGTCGATCACCGCCAACCGTCGACCACCACTAATCGCCATCATCAATCAGTATCAACCACACACCGTCGATCGACAATGTTATAACCTGAAAAATCTAGTAACCAGTCTGTGGGACAAGAGCTCATCATTACGGTCCATGTGTCAACGACCTACATGGTCATTAGTTCATGCAGCTCCAGATTCCAGTCCTCGCGGCCTACGGACGTCACTAATACTTGTCGCAACGACCTACGTGATTTACAACTTATGCAGCTCCCAACTCCGGGCCCCACGGCCTACAGACGTCACTAATACTCGCCCCAATGACCTACGTGGTTTACAGCTTATACAGCTCCCGACTCCAGCCCTCTCGACCTATGTACTTCATTCATACTCACCCCAATGGCCTAAGTGATTCACAGCTCATGCAGCTCCCAACTTCCCAACTCGAGCCCTGCGACCTATGAACTTCATTCATACTCGCCACTACGACCTACAATGACCACAGCTCGTGCAGCTTCCGACTCCTGCCCCCTGCGGTCTAAGGGCATCATTTATATTTACCACTATGGCCTATGTGGTCCACAGTCCCCACAACTGCTTACTACAGTTTCTCTAGCCAATCAACGCTTTTGGAACAACCACCTACAACACTCACGTCGGACTACTTTTACAATAACCAACAATGACCCTTACAACCTACTACCACCAAGAACCACAGTCAGATTATAGTTATACAACTTCGTAACTCCATCTTTTCTAATTTAGGAGAAGGATGAACCTGTATACTTATCATTTATAATGAATTTTCGCAACTGGGTCAGACCCCGTAATTTTTTCCTATACGGGTTTTCCATGTAAAAACATCTAGTGTCACTACTGTATGTTTCTCTTCCATATGTATGTTTGTTGAATTCTCGTATAATACTAAGACGATAATTTATCACTCTACCACCTTGAATTTTCTAATACACATCAATGGACAGCCCAAAATATTTCGTCCCAACAGCTATGTATATAGGTCTATCATGAATATATGAAATTTAACGCATGCTTATTTGGTAGGAACCTTTGAATCCCCCACCATTGCTCATTGCATTCACTCCATAACAGTAAATGCTAATGAAAACAAAGCATTGTCAGCATCAATTGCGACAATCAATTGCCTAAAAGAAAAATCTCATCCTGCACTAGCCCATAATTACTTCAGCCACCAATTGATAATGTAAATGCCCAACATAGACGTTGGAACCAAATTGAAGGACCACATTGTATTCTGTAAATAAACCTTCCCATCATTGAACAGATGTCCTTCAAAAAACCTAAAAATTGATAACTCTTCATAACTTTCAAATATAGTATTGATAACCTTCCAGTTAGCATCCAATATTTCTATGTATGAACACTTAACATTGAATTAGGATCGAGATTAACGAAAACATAAAGAATGATTTACTCTCCTTTAGATGCAGATTTAACCACAGTAACCATAACACGAGATTTCACTTGTATGCACAAGTTTTGCAACCTGCAAGATAGACCAATAATCATACATCAATAATGTCTCCAGCTTTATGTCTCCCCCTTTTTTTAACAATATGAAGCATCTCACATTTCACATATTATTATGCACATACAAATGAGCAGATTCTGATTCATCAGTATAAGTGCTTCATGTAATGTATGGAGTTTGTCTCAGCACCCACCACCTTCAGGCTCAATGGAACTTAGAAGGCCATTGCCCCTCAGCTGCATGCAATGCTCTTCTGCATCAGCCTGAGTGCACACAATTACGACCGACAAACCGTTATAGTGTGCCTCTTGCATGACATTGACTGCAGTGTCGAGAGTCATTCCAGGAATGACCTTCATGAGTACTTGGACGACATACTCGCGCTTGTTAAAATTGTCGTTATGTAAAATTATACGATACGGAGGAGCTATTTTCCTGGATTTCCTGCACGATACAAAAACCAGGCTATTTCTTGCTGTACCAATATAGTAACAAAGAAAAATAGTGTTGATGCACAACACATGAACTCCAAGATGGCAAGATTCATGGATTTTGTGCGTTAAATCTGGCAAGTCTTATTTTTCAATTTTAGAATCATCTAAAGGCGACTTGTTTCGTAGCAAAGCTCCTTAGGAGTAATAATAATAGAAAAAGAGAGAATTTGACAGTTATCAATATACTAGTATAACTGCACATGCACTAAGTGCATGTCAATAAAATTTAAAAATATAATATTATGGATTTCTTAACTATATTCTGAGTTAATAATTTTCAATGATATGATCAAAAGAATAAGTTTATCATTATATGTAATAGTAAGAATTGTGGTATTAATGATACTTTAGAGTATTTATCTTAAAATAATAGTTGATAAAATATATTTTAAGTGTCATTTACATACATAACACCCAATTCCTATGTATTTACCTATCTAGTTCCTAAAGTATGTATGTTAAATTTATACCACATAAATATTTCATATAAAATTTAAAAAAACCAACATTTTAACTTGAAATACACCTTTTCATGGCATAGGTAAGGTGATTAGCATGTAAAAATTGAAGTGCAGGTGTTAGATTTGTAATACATAGGAATTGAGTGGTAGGTATGCAACTCTTCCATCAAATATTTGAAGCATAAAAAAACACAATTTTTCTCGAAGTAATGATAAATATAACATAATTTAAATATAATGATTTTGAATTTCAAATTTTCAAATTTTGGCATTTCAAATATAGATCCCAAATATATCATAACATATGAACTTAAAATTTATTTAAAAGTTTGAGTTCTAAATTAATACTTAATGGAACGACAAATCATTTAGAATGAAAGATAAAAGAAATAGCTTTCATACTATTTATTATCAGTTATATAATCATTATAGAATTTAAACAATGAATTAACCAGTCATTTAAGATAAAAAACATGCAAATAATTTTGAAATACAAGATCAATGTAAGATTCAAATTAGGCTATTGTCAAGAATGGTTAAATATTTTAAGAAATGAAGAAACTTGAAGTTATACGTCAGATTATCAAAACTTCTACTACAGGAAAGCTTGATATTAACGTTAGTTTTAGAGTAGCTGTCGTAAATTCTAATGTCAGATTTGCGTCCCAAAACAGGACGCTAAATACTTGCTGGGAAATTTGCCTCGATAACATGTCGACACAAACTGTTTGTATTGCGGTTTGTGTCTACATATTGTCAACACATTAAAATCACTTAATAGCATCAAAGAGTCTGACGCTAAATAATTTGCACCGGAATTTGTCCGACACAAGTGCCTTAAAATACTATATCGCACAACAATGAATTAACTAATCATTTAAGATAAAAAACATGCAAATAATTTTGAAATACAAGATCAATGTAAGATTCAAATTAGGCTATTGTCAAGAATGATTAAATGTTTTAGAAATGAAGAAACTTGAAGTTATACGTCAATTTATCAAAACTTCTACTACAGGAAAGCTTGATATTAACGTTAGTTTTAGAGTAGCTGACGTAAATTTTAATGTTAGATTTGCGTCCCAAAACAGGACGATAAATATTTGCTAGGAAATTTGCCTCGATAACATGTCGACGCAAACTATTTGTATTGTAGTTTGTGTCTACATATCGTCAACACATTAAGATCACTTAATAGCATCAAAGAGTCTGACGCTAAATAATTTGCACCGGAATTTGTCCGACACAAGTGCCTTAAAATACTATATCGCACAACAGGTCTCATTCGCGCTCCTCTGTTTCATTCCTCCATAGTCTCCAGCGACTCCAAGTTTCTTTTTCTCCAATGAGGGGTCTGACATCTCAAGCGTTTTTGCACCGGCAAAATCGCAGCTCCGACCTTTAGGTAAAGTTTTCTTCTCTTTTGTGTTTCTCCTTCATAAAATTTGAGGATTTTAGGTATTAAGTTTTGGTTTCAGATATGTTATTACGACACGGTCTGATAGCTCGGAATTAATAAGTCAGGAATTGCGGTGAGATGATATTAACATTTAATTTACTTTCCTCATGTTTCAATATAATAAAGAGCCACTACAAAATCTACAAATGCACGTAATGAAATTTAAATTATACAACAGTAACAAAATAATCTGAAAGTAAAATATTTAAATCAACACAACAATATATCACTATTCAAAATAAAATAGTATAAAAATAATGCCTAGCAGCAGTGGTTCTTCTTCGGTAAACTAATCTCTCTTGCAAAACATCAACATATAACTTTTCCTTTCCTAAAAGATAATTAAATTCAATAGTAAGTTTGACTTAATGAGCGATTATAATGATAATATGCATTAAATTCATATACAAATACTATGTATGAACGATCAAAAGAAAATGTTGTCTATTTCTATATAAAACTTCAAACTTTTACTTTAAATTTATCCCTTTCTGTTTCAATTTAAATATTTACCATTTTTAATCTAGTTGAGAGTCATACAAGAATTATTGTAATATCCGAATGTATCCTCAAAAAATATACCCAAATGTATCAATATCCGAATGTATCCTCAAAAAATATACCCAAATGTATCCTAAAAAATGTATTTGAAGGTACTTCTGAAAATACACCCGAAGATACACCTTTATCATTTCTTTAATTGTGCACGGGTACATAACATCCCCTATCAGTACTATATGACAGTAATCTTGTATGACTTAGTCTTTTACTTATCATTTCATAGCCATTAAAAATCCTTTAAAATATACTTTCATATGTCAGTTATTTTTTTCTCATTTATGAAACATATTTTATACTTTCAAAATGCAAGGCAAGTGAAATATTTCTTTTTAAACCAAGTAATAAATAAGTTATTCATTTAATAAAATATTAATTTAATACATATAAGAAAATAATTACTCACCTATCTTAAGAGACCTTTGTAAAAGCTTATTCCTTCACAGCTCCCTTGACTATCACCCATGTTAATTAAAGAATATATAATTATAAAAAACTAATTAAAAAAGAAAGACTTGAAATATATGCCTAATGACATAATTAAAAAAAACCTAAAATAATTAGATAATTTTTTACCTTAAAAAGCTTGGTTTGCTTCCTTACACAAGATTCCTCTTTCGGCTTACAGGAAGTTTGCGTCACCTTTTATCTCTCAAATTTCATAATTTAATAACTTCGATACTCTTATACCTACAGCCAACTGCCCTAGCTCAGGCACACAAGGCTCTCCCTTCTTCCTCTCCTTTGGTTTGCACCCGCTTGGCTTCTTCTCCTTTCGACAGAGCCACACTTACTCCTCTCCTATTCATTCCTCGATTCAGCCAACTGCCCTAGCTCAGCACACAAGGCTCTCCCTTCTTCCTCTCCTTTGGTTTGCACCCGCTTGGCTTCTTCTCCTTTCGAAAGAGCCACACTTACTCCTCTTCTATTCATTCCTCGACTCAGAGTAGCGCACATAGAGCTCACAAATACAACTTCCTTTCTCCTCTCGCAGAGCCACAGACCTCCTTCCTCCTATGCCTTCGACCTCGTCTCAACTCGACCCCATACATGCACTACAACGCTGCTTCATTCTTCCTCTACAAGCAAACAGAATGTCGCTGCTTCCCTCGGCTAGGGTTCGACATGACAGAACTCGTCAAATTCGCACAACCACCTTCCTTCCTCCTCGACAGATCGACTAGGCGACGTTGTCTCCTACGCAACAAGCAATGACTTCTCCTTTTCTTTCTATTCGTCTCTTCTTTCTCCTTCTATGGTTTGTCTTTTGTCGGTTTGAATGAGGGAAACTGTTGATTCAAAAGAGGGAATATAACTTTTAAATCGTAACTGAAAGATGCTTATTTTTATGTCTATTAGAATTATCATTATTATTATTGTAATTATTATTACATTTATTTATTTATTTATTTTCAGTTATTATATATATAATACATAAAAATTGTATAGTTTCTATGTAGAATTTGATGTAGAAGTGTTAGGTATGTAATGCATTATGTGGTTTGTTTGTGAAAATTGAAGTATTGGTGTTAGATATGTCATGCATAAGAATTATGTGGTTTGTATGTGCAAATTGAACTATAGGTGTTAGATATGTAATGCATAAGAATTGTGTGGTTTGTGTGAAATTGTTGAGATTTAGGGTTAGATTAGCCATTCATATTGTATGGTTTGTATATGTAGAAATTGAAGTTTAGATTTAGAAAAAGTGATACATAAGAATTGCGTGGTTTATATGTAGAAATTTAAGTTTAGGTGTAACATATGTAATGCATAAAAATTGTGCGGTTTGAATGTAAAAATTAAAGTTTGTGTTAGATATGTAATAAATAAGAATTGTATGTGGAAATTAAAGTTTGTGTTAGGTATGTAGTACCTAAGAATTGTGTGGTTGTATGTAACTATTGAAGTTTAGGGTTGGATATGTAATACATAAGAATTGTGAGGTTTAATTTGTATGTAGAGATTGAAGTTTAAGTTTAGATATGCAATACATAAGAATTGTGTGATTTGTATGTAGAAGGTGAAATTTAGGTGTAAGATATGTAATGCATAAAAATTTTGTGGTTTGCATGTCAAAATTAAAGTTTAGGGTTCGATATATAATACATGAGAATTGTGTGGTTTGTATGCATGTAATACAAAAGAATTGTGTGATTTGTATGTTCTGATTGAAGTTTGTGCGTTACATAAGAATTGCATTGAATGTATGTAGAAATTGAAGTTTAGATGTTAGATATGTACTACAGTTGAATTGAGTCAAATATATGTCAAAATTGAAGTTTATGCTTTGCATATATATTGCATAAAAATTGTGTTGTTGTATGTATGTAATACATAAAAATTGTGGTTTGTATGTAGAATTTGAAGCATAGATGTTAGATATGTAATGCATAAGAATTTTGTGATTTGTATGCATGTAACTTATAAGAATTGTGTGGCTTGCATGTAAAATTTGAAGTTAAGTCATTA